AAGGTCTGAAAAGTTACAAGCTAAAAACTATGATATATAATATTTTCCAAGCACACAAGCAAGTAATTAGAATAGACAGTTCTACTTGCTTAGGCCATTAGATGGGTACAGATGGCAGCTAGGTGGTGCAGTAGATAGAGCTGGGCTTGAATTCAAATCCAACTGTAGGCACTCACTAGCTGTGTGACCCATGACAAATTACTTAATCTCTGTCTGACCCAGGTTCCTTATCTGTAAAATGGGGATAATAACAGTACCTACCTCCCAGGATTGTTGTGAGGATCAAATGAGAACAGGGTTGCATGATGCTTAGCACTGTTTGGCACATAGTAGGTGCTTAATAAATGCTTCTTCCTCCCCCTTCCCCTTACAGAGGAAGATAGTATAATGTCAGATCTTGACTTAGGGGAAAGGTTGTTAGAAGTTAGGGGCATTAGGGGCAGGCTTCCAGGAAGAGGCACCATTTGACTTTGGTTTTAAAGGTTGGGTAGAAAATTAATAGGCCTAGAGAGGGGAAGAGGGAAAATTCCATGTAGAGTAAATAACTTGGGCCAAAGAATGGAGGGGGGCAGTCATAGGTGCATTCAGGGCCCAAAGGTGGTCCAGTGTGGCTGGAACACAGTGTATGGATGGCAGGGGAAGCTGGAGAGTTAGGGGGGCATCAGGTTGTAAACAGTCTTGCATGTCACAATCAATTCAATTGAGGAAGCATCTATTAAGCCCCATGGTGTGCAGGCATTGTAGATACAGAAACAGGGCCTGTCCTCAGAAGACCCACATTCTATTGGATGTTGCGCCAAAGACTTTTCCTTACCTGAGAAACAACAGGACTCATTCTTTCCCTCAAAACCTTCCCTCTTCTTCACTTGGCCATTCCTCCACCCTCCCAGCCACCCAAGTCCTAAACATGCATCAGTCTTGTCTCCTCACTCACACTCAACCCACATAGTCAATCCTTTGCCAGATCTTATAATTTCTAATTTCACAACATCTCTTGTCTACACCCTCTTCTCTGCCTCAGAGAACCCCCTAGACACAGCCACCAGGACCTTCTAACTCATCTTCCTGGCTTGGGTTTTGCTTCCCTGAAGAGGCCAGCAACGTCAGCTATGTGAATCTCTTGTGTTTACAGGATCAAATATAAAATCATTTGTTTGGGATTTAAAGCATCCCACCACCTGGCCTTCCCTACCTTTCTGGTCTTCTGAAGTTCTGCTTCCCTCCACACACTCTTCTGATTCAGCTCCCATCTCTTGATCTTTGAACCCACTACCTATTCTATATTCCTGGAATTCTCTGGCTCCCAACCTCTGATCCCAACTAAACTCCTTGAGGGCAGGGACTGTCTTTTGCCTCTTTTTAAATCCCCAGTGCTTAGCACAGTGCCTGGCATACAGTAGGTGCCTAATAAATGTTTATTGATTAAATTATTGGTTCTTAGAATGCCAAGCTAAAGAGCTATCCTCTGAAGGATGCCTTTTGTGGAGCCTGCTGCTGATTCCCTCCTTTGTGAAATTATCTTTAATCTACTTTATATTTTATATGCATGGATTTATGCATATGTTGTATCCCCCATGAGAATGTAAATTCTTGGGGGGCGGAGCCAAGATGGCAGAGTAAAAGCAGTGACTTGCTTGAGCTCTCTCCCAAATCACTCCAAATATCTGTAAAAAGTGGCTCTAAACAAATTCTAAAGCAGCAGAACCCACAAAAAGATAAAGTGAAACAAATTTCCAGCCCAAAACAACCTGGATGGTTGATCAGAAAGGCATATTGCGCTGGGTGGGGAGAGGAGCGCAATTCAGCATGGTCACGCAGGCCTCAGTGAACCTGGAGCAGGCCTCAGAAGACTGAATTGCAGGCAGCTGTGGCAGATTCCAGACTTCTCAACCCATGAACACCAAAGCCTCCAAGAAAAATATGAATCTGTCCCAGGCCTTGGAAGAGCTCAAAAGGGATTTTGAGAAGCAAGTAAGAGAAGTAGAGGAAAAACTGGGAAGAGAAATGAGAGTGATGCAAGAAAATCATGAAAAACAAGTCAACAGCTTGCTAAAGGAGACCCAAAAAAATACTGAAGAAAATAACACCTTAAAAAATAGCCTAACCCAAATGGAAAAAGAGGTCCAAAAAGCCAATGAGGACAAGAATGACTTAAAAAGCAAAATTGGCCAAATAGAAAAGGAAGTACAAAAGCTCACTGAAGAAAATACTTCCTTAAAAATTAAAATGGAGCAATTGGAAGCTAGTGACTTTATGAGAAATCAAGACACTGTAAAACAAATCCAAAAGAATGAAAAAATAGAATACAATGTAAATATCTCATTGGAAAAACAACTGACCTGGAAAATAAATCCTGGAGAGAGAATTTAAAAATATTGGACTATCTGAAAGCCATGATCAAAAAAAAGAGCCTAGATATCATCTTTCAAGAAATCACCAAGGAAAACTGCCCTGATATTTTAGAACCAGAGAGCAAAATAGAAATTGAAAAAATCCACCGATCACCTCCTGAAAGAGATCCCCAAAGGAAAACTCCTAAGAATATTACAGCCAAATGCCAGAGTTCCCAGGTCAAGGAGAAAATATTGCAAGCAACCAGAAAGAAACAATTCAAGTATTGTGGAAACACAATCAGGATAACACAAGATTTAGCAGCTTCTACATTAAGGGAGCAGAGGGCTTGGAATAGAATATTCCAGAGGGCAAAGGAGATAGGATTACAACCAAGAGTCACCTACCCAGCAAAACTGAGTATAATCCTTCAGGGGAAAAAATGGATATTCAGTGAAATAGAGGACTTTTAAGCATTCTTGATGAAAAGACCAGAGCTGAATAGAAAATTTGACTTTCAGATACAAGACTCAATTGAAACATGAAGAGGTAAACAAGAAAGAGAAATCATAAGAGAATTATTAAGGTTGAACTGTTTACATTCTGCATGGAAAGATATTTGTAACTCATGAGTCCTTTGTCAGCATTAGGGTAGTTGGAGCGGAAAAAAATTATATGTATGTATGTATAGATAGACAGACAGACAGACAGACAGACAGACAGACAGATAGATAGATAGATAGATACATACATACAGATAAATAGAGATAGATATAGATAAATAGAGGCACAGAGTGAGTTGAAGATGAAGGGGTGATATCTGGAGAATAAAATTAAGGGGTGAGAGAGGATTGTACTGGGAGAAGGAGAAAGGGAGAGGTAGAATAGGGTAAATCATCTCACATAAAACAGACAAGAAAAGGCTCTCACAGTGAAGGGGAAGTGGGGGGAAGGTAAGAGGGAATGAGTGAATCTTAGAGTCATCAGATTTGGCTGAAGGAGGGAATAACACACACACTCAACTGGGTATGGAAATCTGTCTTACCCTACAGGAAAATAGGGGGGGAAGGGGACAAGAGAGCAGGAGGATGATAGAGGGGAGGGCAGATTGGGGAGGGGGTAATCAGAGGCAAACACTTCAAAGGAGGGACAGGGTTAAAAGAGAATAGAATGAATGGAGGGCGTGATAGGGTGAAGGGAAATATACTTAGTTTTTCACAACGTGACTACTATGGAAGTGTTTTGCGTGACTACACATGCATAACCTGCATCAAATTGCTTGCCTTCTCAATGAGGGTAGGTGGGGAGGGAGAAAGGGAGAAAATTTGGAGCCCAAAGTTTTAAAAACAAATGTTAAAAAAATTGTTTTCACATCCAACTGGAAAAGAAGATATACAGGCAATGAAGTATAGAAATCTATCTTGCCCTACAGGAAAACTGAGGTGGAAGGGGATAAGGAGGGGGTAGAGATAGAAGGAAGGACAGATTTGGGGAAGGGGTATTCAGAATGCATGCCATCTTGGGGTGGGGGGAGGGATGAGATGGGGAAAAAATTTGGAACTCAAAATTTTGTGGAAATGAATGTTGAAAACTAAAATAAATAAATTAAAACATGAACCTTTAAAAAAAAAGACTGTAAATTCTTGCAAGGCAGGGTTTTTTTTCTTTGATCCTCAGCATTTAGCATGTTGCCTGGCACGTAGTATGAAATAATAAATGGTTGTTGATTGACTGATAGAGCTGCAACTTGTCTTGTGCACATTGAGAAAGTCTTCACAAATTGCCAAAGGAAAAAAGACATAAAAATTAGCTTCAAATAAACATTTAAAGAGGAACAGATTTGGGGAAATGGGGGAGACAGAACTAATGGAATATGATAGGCAGAAGGCAGAGCTCACCCGGGCTGCAGAAACCAGAGGAAGGCACTTCTGCTTAAGCTAACCATTTCCATGAACTCAGCAGTAAGCTCAGCTGTCCTGATGCTGCTGAAGGTCTACGGGTGGACTGAGCACCTTCTACACTTCAGTGCCATGGGGTAAAGCCCTTGTTGCCTCACTCTGGTTATGGGCAATTACATGACAAGATCTAGGCCTAAGAAAACTGATTCTGGCTTTGTTTTGATTGGGTAGATTTAGGAGCTGAAGGAAGGCAATGAAACCCTGGTCGGAGGCTAGGACAATAGTTAAAATGAATGGTAATGGGAGCTTGTAGGGAGGGGGAAGGTTTGGGGGAGGGAAGATGTGGCAAGGCAATAGAGAACTGGAAGCATAGATAAAGCTCCTGTTATCTCTACAGTCACAGACAGGTTTTCCACTTAGATAGAAAGGCATTATATGTGTGTATGTTTAAATTTGCTTCCATATAAATTGGATTATCATTGCTTTTCATTTCTTCTCCAAGAAACAAGAAGATAGAGTAGATTGAACACCAAAATCCTACCTCAGACATTTCCTAGCTGGGTGACCCTGGGAAAGTCACTTCAGCTCGGTCTGCCTCAGTTTCCTCATGTGTCAAGTAGGGATAAGAATACTATCTACCTCTCACAAGGTTGGTTGTAAGGGTCAAATAAGATAGCGTACAAAGTGCTTAGCAAACCTTAAAGCATAATATAAATGCTAACCATTATTATTATTGTTATTAATTTATTTATTCTTTGAATCATTGCCGGCAGAGGATTGGATAAAAACCAGATAGGAAAGCCTTTGGAATTGTATGTAAAGTGCTTTGCAAGCCTTAAATATTAGTAAGTGCTAGTTATTACCATCTTGAGACTTCCATATTTATCAACTGTTGGGAGCTAGAGAAAGCCAGTCACTGTTGGAGGACAGAATCAAAGGATTTTAGATTTCATCTGGGGAAGGACCTTCTTCTGCACTTGGGCAGAGGCCCAGCAAGAAGCTTACCCAAAGCGAGAGTTTTGTGAGAGGTTCTCTCCCTCCAAGGTCAAACCTCACCCCGTTGGCCTCAAGCGCTGATGATAGGATCATGGCTCTGGATCTGGAAGGGGTCCCTCCTGCCATCTGGTCCAATCTCCTCACTACACAGATGGAAGAAATGGAGGCTCAGAGGATCCGTAGGTCATCGGTCATAGATCTAACCCTAGAAGGGACCTCAGAGAACATCAGGTCTTGATGTCGTGCCAGGCACTGTAGTTACAAAGACAAATGCCAAACAAGCCCTCCCTCAGAAGACCGACATTCTACTGGAGGTCAGACCAAAGACTTTTCCCTTGACCCGAGAAACTAGCAGTACTCATTCTTTCCCCAAAACCTTCCTTCTTCTTCACTTGGCCATCCGAAGTCCTGAACATGAGTCAGCCTTGTCTCCTCACTCACGCTCAACCCACGTAGTCAGTCCTTTGCCGGATCTTGTCTTTTCTGATTTCACAACCTTGAATGTTAATAAATGCTAGTTATTATTATTTTGAGACCTTCCCTTCACTTTACAAAGCAGAAACTGAGGGACAGAGAAGGAAGTGATTGTCCGAGGTCTCAGAGGCAGTCAGCGCACACTCATCAAGTCCAAGCAACATGGCAGGCACTGTGCTGCGGCAGACACTTCATATGTACTTATTAAGTCATCTACTATGTGCCCAGAATTGTAAACTAAAGAACAATTTGACTGCAAAACAAGACAATCAAAACAAACAAAAAGTCCCTACAGAGTTCTCTTGCTGCCAAGGAGGAAAGTTGGATCTCCTAGCACTCCCTAACTTCTTTTTGGATTCTCACCGTATCCCATTTGGCATTCTGTTTGTCTCCTTAACCCTGCAGTGTAAGCACCCGGAGGGAAAGGGACAAATCTTATTTAGAGCTCCCTCAGAGCCTAGCACATAGTAGGTAGTTTATCATATTTGTTGAATGAACATATAAATGAAAAATGAATGCTCACATGGCATATTAGAAAGACAGCTAGACATGGAATCTTGAGAATGAGTTTGAATTCCGGCTCTTCCATTTAATCAGAAGGGAAGGGATCTTCTTGACCTTGGTCCAGTTGCTTTCCTTACATGAGGGTTTCCTTCCCTGTAAACTGAGGGGGTTGGGCTCGATGACATCACACTTCTCTTACAGTTTTATGATTCTGTGTAACACCCACAGAGTCCTTCCTGAGAAATGAATTATATACCTTTACATTAATGAGTTGACTGCCCTCCAATCCAAGGGGCAGGGATCTTTAACCATTCCTGAATCGGGGCCCAGCACTCCCCTGAAACCCTCCATTATCCCAAGTACGAAATGTGAGAACAACCTGGCATAGCGGGATGTGACGGCTCAGGTAAGAACCACACCTCATCTCTGGCCCGCAGGTACACCCCATGCGAAACAGGAAGTGTGTGTGGGAGGCTTCTGCTGTCCCCTCGGGGATCATCTCCGCTTGCGGTGGCCAATGTTCCAACAGAGGCAGGGCCTAGGAGAGGTTTCTTGAACATGAGAAAACAGATGGCTTGAAGCATTGAGAAATAGGAAATACCTGGTGAATAGAGCACACAGCCCCCTCAGTTCAGCTGAAGCCACGAACCTTCCCATAAACTAACTGGTGAAGAGAAGAGAGTCACTGGGAAATCTTGAAAGGTGCTGCTGTATCAGAAGGCATTTTTGTATGTTTGTTTTTTTCCTGGGGGTTTGGGAGCAAATCTATTGCAGGTAGTGGGGCATTCTGGGAGGAGTTAGCCTGCCTTTTTATCATTCATAACACCAGAGTCAGAGCACAGAAGGCAGGAGTTTTAAAGGACCTCGTACATGAATGAGTCCAGCTCATTCAGGAAGAAATCTCCCCTAGAACATGCCAGACAAGGGGTTGTCGATTCTCTGCTTGCTTTGGGCAGTGGGAGAAGAATCTATTAAGGCAGACTGCCTTCTGCCAAGGTCCCCAGAGGAACAAGCTAATGTCAATGGGCCACACACCCAGGTAGCACGGCTGCCCCACCTCTGTCAACTCCATTTAGCATCAGTTAAGTAGGAAGTGGACAGTGAATGCCAGGAATGGTCTAGAGTTGGGGGTTGGTGAATTGTGAGCAATGATAAGATGAGAAGATTCAGGATTGAGCACAGAGCCCAGCCTACCCTCCTGGTCTTGTGGCCTCTCCCTCTGGTTGGCTGGTTTCTCCTAGAATCTCCATTTTAAAGGGGAGGCTCAGGCTAACCATGCCTGCATCACTTCTTTCCCATGGACCCCCCTTTCAGCTCTCTCTTGTGTGTTGTCTTCTCTCTGTAGCATGTGAAGTAAGCTCCTCCAGGGGAGGGTCTGTCTTTCTGTCTTCTTGTATTTGTATTCCCAGAACTCAGCATTGATTTGACTTGATAGAATCACAAAATTTGATTTGGAAAGGACCTCAGAGGCCCTGTGGTCCCACCCATATAAGAACAGAATTCCCACTCTGATGAGTGAAAATGTGACTTGCCTAGGGTCATACAGCTAGTAAGTGTTTGAAGCTGGATTGGAACTCACGTTTTCCTGACATCAAGTCCAGTGGTCTGTCCACTAAGACATCTACCTGCCTGTTGAATAGGAATGGAAAACAAATACAAGGCAGCCTCAGGAGGTCAAACAGAATGATTCTAATCCTGATCCTATTTGAAAGCTCATTAATCCAGAGCTGGAAGGGACCTCCTTTTACAGATGGGGAAACTGAGGCCCAAAGGGCTAAAGTGACGTGCCCTTGGTCACACAATCCTAGAGATGCGATTCTTACTCAGATCTTTAGTGGCACCAAGTCCTTTACATCTATTATTATTATTATTATCTCACAAACAGCTGATGAACCCTTTATGGACACTGTGCTCAAAGTCAGCTGGGACTGGTTGAAATTGAGGGATGAGTTTGCTTGGGTCTTTGTGCCAGGAACAAAGGACAGGTTGGGTTGTGCTATCATGTGTCCTGACCCTTTCCCTGTCTGCCCCCTGAAGGGGCTGAACAGTCAGCTTCTGCTGTCACAAGGAGAGAAGAACAAAGTGTATTTGACACAAAGGTTTCCTTTCTCATTGCACTTCAGAACATCTTGACCTCCCAGAAGAACTGGCCAGCAATTTGAAGCCAAAACAAGCCTTATTTGGTCCTGGTGATTCCAGCCCACGCTCTCATCCCTCAATATTTCCTGACTGGTACAGAAGGACATACATTTTAGGACATGGAAAATGGCTGAATCACAAAATCTCAGTGTTGGAATCAATCAATCCACAAACATTTATGAAGTGGCTATTATGTGATGGGCTCTGTGCTCAACACTGGGTATTCAGGGAAAGAATGAAAGAGTCCCTCCCTCAAATAGATCCATTCTAAAGGGGGAAATAACAAGGAGAGAAAGATGGATGGATAGATAAATAGACAGATAGATACATATATAGATAGATACCTAGATGAATAGATAGATAGATAGATAGATAGATAGATAGATAGATAGATAGATAGATGGATGGATGGATAGACAGACAGATACATGGATACATAGATGGACAGATGGATAGACAGATACATAGATGACTAGCTAGGCAGACAGATAGATACATAGATGGATAGATAGCTGATAGATAGATAGAAGACAGATTCATAGATGGATAGAGGGGTAGACAGATGTGATATGCATATAGACAGGTAAATGAAAGTGAGATATAGATAGGTGGATGATTGATAGATGACAGATGATAGAGATAAATGATTAAAAGATGATAGATAGATGATTGATTGATAAATGCCAAATGATAGATATATATGAAAAGATGGATGATTGATATATGCCAGATGATAAAAAGTAGATAGATGACAGAGCATTTATTATGCACTTACTATGTGTCAGATACTGTGCTACGATCACACATGCAATATAATTCATTGTGTAATATAAACAATACACATACACATGCATAATATATAAATATGTACAATATAAAAATGAAGCGAATGATTACAAATACACACAAAGTAGTTCAAGACAAGGTGGCTGGGGGAGGAGGCCACTGGCATTTGGGCAGATTAAGCAAGGCTTCATGAGGAAGTTGGTGTTGGAGCTGCCTCTCAAAGGAGGACAGAAACTCTCTGGGGCGGAAATGAGAAGAGCTCTCACTTCAGGCACGGGTGGGGGACGGCCAACACAAAAGCACAGAGATGGGAGATTGTATGTGGCAGAGGGGCCAGTTTGACTGGATGTAGCATGTAGGAGGAGGGGTTAATGTTCTTCAAGGCTGGAAAGACAGATTGAGGCTGGGTTGTGAAGGCTTTGAAAGCTAGACAGAGAAGTTTACTTGTGGTTCTAGGGGCAATGGGGAGACCCTGGAGTTCATTGAGTAGGGGAGACTTATGATCAGATCCATACTTAAGGAAACCCCTCTGTGTAGGCTGGACTCAAATGGGGAGAAACTTGAGGCAGTGAGACTAATTAGGAAACTGTTGAAGGAACCTAGAGGAGCAGTGAGGAGGGCCTGACTTGAGGTGGCAGCTGTGCAGATGAGATAAGGGGTCACATGCAAGAGAGGCTGAGAAGGGAGAAATAGCAAGATATGGACATGTGGGGTGAGAGAGCATGCAGAGTCTAGGTCAGTGCAAAAGGAGACTGGCAGGATGGTGGGGCTTTCCATAGGAGGAGGGAAAGAATAATGAGCTTGGTTTGAGATGCATTAAGTTTAAGGTGTTTCTGGGACATCCATTCTGAAATATCCAATAGACGATGGGTGATGGGGGACTGAAACTGAAGGGGAGACTGGTTGGATATCCATATCTGAGAGTATCTGCATAGAGATGATACTAAGTTCATAGGAGCTGATGAGGTTACAGAGAGAGAGAGTAGAGAGAAAGAAGGAAAGAGAGAGTAGGCCAGAACTTTGGGGAATACCTGTAGTTATGGGGACTGAGGGGGATAATGAGCCAGCAAGGGAGACCAGGAAGGATGAATTGCACAGGGAGAAGATCCAGGAAGGGGGAATCTCACAAAAAACCCAGAGAGCAGAGAACATCTAAGAAAAAAGGGTGATCAGTTACGTCAAATGCATCAGGTCGGCCCAGAAGGACGCAAGCAGTAGGTCTAAGAAAAGACTATCAGATTTGATAATTAAGCAATCTTTGGTAACTTTCAAGAAGGTTGTTTCTGTTGAATGATGTGGTCAGAAGCCAGATGCAGTAAGTACTAAGACCAGAAGTGGAGGTGATGAGTGAAGATATCTTTTTCAGGGTATTTGGCTGAGAGAGGAGAGATATCTAACAATAATTGGAGGGTATGATAAGCTCTGGTGAAAGTTTATATATTATGTAAAGAGAGAAGGATTCTAGATTTGGAAGGAGGAATGATATGGATACAATCTGCTGGAGAGGATAGGATTAAATGTACTATGGAGAGATTGGCCTTAGCCACATTGTCAGTGGCCTCAGTTTCCTTGCCTGTAAAATGTGGATAATAATAGTATATACATCTCAAGGTTGCTTTGAGGACCAAATGATTAATAATTATAAATCACTTAGCATATTACCTGGCACTAATAAGCTCTATATAAATGTTAGCTATTATTATATATAAGGTATTTAAATCTTTATGCATATGTGTGATATTGGCCAATACATGACTATACAAATGTCAGTTATAATTGTCGCTATCCCTTATCATTGTTACCATTTTTAGTCATTTGTGTTGGTAGGTCACTAATGTTGAGATGCCCAGCTTTTGACCTCATATCATCCGCCTGCTTAAATCCAGATCATCTCCAATTTTTTCATGAAGCATCAAATTCAGTCCTGCCCTCTACCCCAATCCTCCACCAACTTTCCTGGGCAAAGAAATCCTCTGGTGTTTGCAATTCTCTTTCAGTCCCTGGGACCTGATTTTTGCCCCACTTCTGCCTGACAGCTGCTTCATCAGGAGTGTTAGCAAACAGGCTGGAGCACTGTGGCGATGGGACTGATGGTGGGAACCTTCTCCTTCTGGTTTCTAGGTGGGGCAAGAAAGAGTATACAATGGTGTGAATACTTTCCCTCCAAGAAACAACTTTGCAGACCTGATCTGCTGATCACAGCTGAGTTCCCTGAGGCCATGAAGAAGAATGGCACTGAACGGACAGACATGGATAGGTTGGGATCTTAATTTTGATAATATCCCAGTTATATTCCAGTATCTGGCACTATACCTCACACATTATAAGCTCCTAACATTTGTTGAATTGACCTAAATTCTCTCCATGTATCCAAGTATCTCCCTACTGCAGCCCATATTCCACTCAGCTGCCAAAGTGATTTTCCTTAAGTGCAGACATGTCTATGTCTCTCTCTTCCACCACTACTCTAAGCCCCAGTGGCTCTCACCTCACACCTGAACTATAGTAAAAGCCTTTCCCCACTCTAGTCCAGCCTCCATTCGGCCACCAAAGTGATTTTCCTAAAGCACCAGTCTGATCATGTCAGCTGTTATTGAAACAAGTCAGTGGTTCTCTATTATGTCTAGGATCAAATATAAAGTCCTCTGTTTGGCATTCCAAGCTGTTTATAACCTAGCCCCTTCCTAACTTTTCAGCCTTCTGATACCTTATACTTCTCCACTTTTTCTTCAGTCCAACATTAGCTTCTTTGCCGTTCCTCGCACAGGACACTTGACTTCCTGACTCCAGCATTTTCGTTGGCTGTCCCCCAGACTGGGAATTCTCTCCTTCCTTATCTCCATCTCTTGACTTTCCTGGCTTCCTTCACATTTCAACTAAATCTCATCTTGTCCTAGAAGCTTTCCCCCCCATTCTCCTTAATGCTAGAGTCTTCCTTTTGTTAATTATCTCTAATTTATCATATATATGTGTGCATATACACACACACACACACACACACACATATGGTTTGTTTGTATATAGCTGTTTGAATGTTGTCTCTTCCTTTTGAGTGTGAGCTTCTTGAGAGCAGGGATCTTTCTTTGTATCCCCAGTACTTAGCACAACGCCTGGCACATAGTAGGTGCTTCATAAATGCTTGTTGGCTGACTGATGGTCTCTACGCCTCGGCATGGGTCATCCCTCATTCCTGGAATGCTATGCTTTCTTTCCATAATAGGCTAAGAGAGGAGTGTGGTTGAAATGATAGCACATAGCCTATAAAAGCCTTCACTTGATACAACCATCCTCTTAAGCTATCATCCAGAATCTCTCCTCCGTCTCTCAACCTAACTCCACTTCTTGCCTCAATGATTGTAACAGCCTCTTCCTTAACCTCCCTGTCTCTAATCTGTTCATTCTGCAATCCATCCTCTACAGAGATGCCAAATGAATATTCTTAAAACACAGACCAGGCACTCATTCCCCTAAGAAAGAAACTTCTTTGGCTACC